GCCATATCATTTTAATCTAATCCGTWCTCTTTTACACCAAATATTAAAATAAGAAGTAAAATAAAAACACATAAAAATCTACTTTGTGTATACGATATAATTCGCTCCGAAGAATTTCTCACTGAAAATTACAAATTACTTAGTCCCTTATAATCCCCTTATAATCTTATTGCCGATGATAGCTGTTGGCATTTAGACTTCAGTTGTTGTTTTTGTTGTTTAGTATTTTTTTTCCATATTTTCCTACCTACTCCGTTATTTGAAAGACTCTTAACATACTTCTACGACAGTAGAAAAGCCGGCAATGTGCTCCACACAAAAGATTTAAGCAACGAACTCTTTCCCTGCTTTTTCGGTTTTTGATTTTTTTGTTTTCCTATCATTTTTTCGCTTTCATTATGTTAGTAAAAGCTGACAATTTATGTCAATAATAAGCCGCATTATTGCCTTTGAAGTATTAACKTTTAGTGTGCCGCAGATGGCGCACGCGTAGCAAAAGACGATTTTCCAATTAAACTATCGTTCAATGCGTGATTAATTGTTGCGCTGTAAATTGCACTGAGCAGTGGAAAAGTCAGTTGCGCGTGGGCATTTAGTAATTTAAGGCTTTTAAGTATTTTTGTCATAATAAGTAGCTTTTAATACCCATCAGCAGGGCTTGGTAATCCATTTTAAGCTTTTAGTTTTTAAAAATCAAAATTACTATTTAGAATGGTTTGCAAKTGGATTAGTTTTAATATAAAGAAATATTTTATCGCTTAAATATTTGAAGTTTAGTTGTAAAAATAAGTGAGGTATATAACAACATRTGATCAAATTTGAAGCGGACTGGAACATTTACTTACTTTRAGTGTGATTATAAAAATTTGTATTGAAATATGTATTGTGGCTTTAATAAAATGTAGTTTTTATCTAGTCGGGGTATGATATTAAGTATATATTTATATATCTCAGCATTTATTAATTTTTTTTTTCTTTTTTTAGTTTTTTTTAATCATTCTGTTTCAGTTTCAGTTTCAAATAAATATCAAAACTCATTAAGATAAGCTTATATGAATCCCTCTTTGGAATGAGACTTCTTGCAATTTTATCTCAACATCCTATTACATTTTTCCTGCAACAACAACAACAGCAATTACCACCTATCAGTCGCTTCGGCAACATCAATGCTGCATTCATACCGCCTGTCTGTCTGTCTGTTTATGCAACAGCGCACGCTGCAGCACAAAGGCGCTATTTAGCTGGCATGACTCGGCATTATGTTAACAGCAGGCTCAACAAAAAGTGATTAGCGCTCGGCTAAGCACACACCACAAGACACCACAAGCAAGCGCAGAAGCTACAGAATTTATGTTTTATACATTTCTCATTTTACATTTATTATTATTTTTCCTTGAATATGCGGCTGTGCAGCATGTAAAGCATGCTTCCTTTGTACATATTTTTATTACATACATACAAACATATTTGCACATATTTATTTTTCACTTTAACTGCTGCGCTCCTGTACTCATAGTTAGTTGGTTAGTTAGCTCTAATGCCCTGAAACAAATTACGTTAATTTAATTCCCTACGTACTAATTCCCTTCGAGCTACCCTGGCTGTGGCAGCCGCTCATAGTATTTCTCGAGCGAAAAGTGAAGCTGCGGCTTTTATCAGCTCACCACTTGCGTTCCTGTTGCAACTGCCGCTGAGCGTTTCCTGCCTCCATCCTGTCCCCATATGAAGTTGGAAGTTATTGTTTTGTTGCTTTCTCAGTGTTAATTGAAACCTGCTGCGCCATCAGTGTCAGTCCGTCTAAAAAACTCATAAAGTTTCAAGCAGCTCTGCGATGCGAAATCATTTGAATTGCTGCCGTTTGTGGCATGATTTAGTTGTATGCTGGTGCATTGTGAGGGGCAACAGCAGCAAAACAGAAATATTTAGCTAAGCTTTAATGCTAGTCCAACACTCCATTTCAAATGTAACTAGAAAGCAAAATGAGTGAGCCACTGACGGCTGCTCGTTTTCTGTGCGCCTCAGCGCCTTCTACGCTTCCTCTGGCTGGCTGCAGTTCAGTTTTTTTTTTTGCGACTGAAGTGCATGCAAGTATTTAACGCTTTGTTTGTAGGGTGTTTGTTGAAGTCTGTGTTGTTTGTGGTATGTGTTGCAAGTATATAACAAATTCTTGCAGCAGTCCTTGACTTTTATTGCTTTACCTTTTGGTCGTGTCTTAAACATTTTACGATCGCCCGTGTTGCTTACTTTGCCCTTAATTCGCTGCAGTTAAAGTAAAAACGACATAAAACTCTGACAGTTGTGGCAACTGCAAATAGCTCAGCTGTRAAAACTTCAGAAAAAGTTTCGGAAAAAGGGCGCTTTCGTTGGCAATGAGGCGCTTTTAGTCCGATTTCAACCTTTTTAACAATCTTCCGAGTGTTTGTATAGATCACTTACAATAGTCATATATAGCCGTTTACGGGCTTTAACTAGCTAAAGTTTTTGAAGTAAGCTATACTTGAGGATATTCATTAAAATTAAATATTTTTTTTTTTTACATTATTTATGCACAAAATATGCTTTTAAAATTTTATTAAGCATTTTAAACATATTATTTAGACAAAAAATGTTACCAAGTAATAATACTCATATCGCTGTATATAAGAATTGCTAATTATTCTGTCTTTATAACACATTTAAGATCAATATAGGCTTTCTGTTTTATGACAAAAATCAGAAAAATGGTATAACAATGAAAAATTATGCTAAACAGGGTATGTGTCCACGCTAACTGCGGCTATCAAAGCTCCAAACCAATTGACAGTGGTGCTATATATAAACTATCCTTTTTGTTTTCCCGTAGTAACCAATTATTCGACTAATCCATAATCTTCAATAGCAATTGGTTTCGTATGATGGAAGAAAGCGAGTATTTAAGAAATGGATGAATAGATGTCTCCATCGAAAATATTAAGTTAATAAAACGATTTATAAAAACTATGAAGAATTTTTTTACAATCGTTTTATGTTTATAAAGTTATTTCATACTCTTGCAACATGCAAGGAGCCAGGGAAGTATCTTTAGGTACATTAGGCTCGTTAGTTATATTAGGCGAGTTTTAGTCTAATTTTTTTTTTATTCTAATTACAAATATGCAACATTATTAGTGAAGCACGCTCTCTCAATTTTATRCAGATAACTCACATATTGGGTGACATATGCGGTATAAAGTCGCCTGGAAGTTCTAAAATATTTATATTTGGTATATGGAAGCTCAGGGAAGTATTTCCCCGAAATTTTTTATACACAGAAATACTATTGTCAGGAAAGTATTCTGGCCGAATTGCTGTTGTAAATTTAAATTTCACACATTGACCGATAATTTCGATAAAAAGTCAACTATAGGCTCTGAGTTCCACATATTCGGCACATAGGAGCTTGAAAGGTTTTGCTTGGATTTGGCCAAGTTTTGGTGGTACACYTCAAAGGCATTATTCGTGCAAAGTTTTATCCCATTCTATTAAKTGGTTCTTGATCTGTAYACAGGAAAGTGAAWGAATCAAAAAGAATTTAAAATTGTGTTATTTGGAGTGTAGTCGTGGTTGTAATCAGATTTCRACCATTTTCTTACATCATTAACATCTTTAATTAGTGTAATACCTATCTACGCTTCGGGGGAGTAATTACCCCGAATTTACATTACATGTCTGATTTTCGAGAAGAATTAAATTTTGAGTGCYTGCGTTGCTTAGTTTTATTTTTTATAAGTAAAAAACAAATTTTGCATGGTATAGACTCTTATAACTTCTAAGAATTTTTTTTTTTAACATTTTGCTTAAAATATCGGACAATGCGTAGCAAAAGCCGTAATAGAATATTTTTTTTCTCAACGAGAAAATAGAGCAGCTACAACCACAATGCTTCTCTGCGTAAATTTTAAACTGGAATTGATACAAACAATCATTCTCATCGTTTTTGGTGAAGGCTTATGTACTACCCACCCCCCTTCCCTCCCGTTCATCACTCGAAGATATATTGCATCTAAAAGAATGCGCTGAACTCGGTCGAAGGGAGGAAAGGTACTAATTTTAGACCTTCAACTAAGGCATGGTTGAACATAACGTCATTATGGAAGATCTAGTGTTCTATAGCTCGCTCGACTTCCCGGTTTTTACATTACACAATTGATCTTAAGCAAAAGACGAGTCATGTATTACGAGTCCCAAAAAGGCAACGTCACACTCGTACTTGATTTTGATGCAACTTAGTCCAAACAAGATATAAAAATCAAAGTTTAGCCAAACTCATTTAAGAATTTTAAATTTTTGAACATTTGTTGAAGTCTTGAAGGAGACGCTATTTGAAATATTTTAGAAAAGGTTTAAACGACGAAGTAGAACGCAATGTTATTTCCACAGACTGTATATTTTCAGCGTAATATGTCTAAGGTGAGAGCTCAGAAGGGGAGTTTTTGAGCTCACCGATGTTCTCTTAAACTCTTTGGAGTTAGTGGTGGCACGTTTTCCAAAAAAAAATATATATTTTAAAAATAAGAAACGTATTCTAAAGTGTTTTTTAGCATTCCTAGATATATTTTTAACCAATATATTTATTTCATTATATTAAAATTATTTTAATTAAGAAGAAAAATTAAAAATTACTTACCTTGCACTCTAATCGAAAGTTTAAGGCTATATTATGGTTTCACTTTGTTAAAACTTTTTTTTTATACTCTCGACTTGAAACTATTACTGCAGTTTATCGCATTTAAATCCCCTCAGAATATTTCGCTCTTGCTTCTTAAAGYCGCGCAAAGTACTTTTAACTGAAATATTGTAAGCTCACTGTCAACGAATAACTATTACACAAATTACATTGCATAGTTTTGTTCAATGTCACACAGTCAGCTTTTGAACTGCGAAAAACTCACTCTCACATCAAGTCACACGCACTTATTTACTTTACGCGCACACTGCAGCTCACCGAGGTGATGGCAACGAACTAACACGTTGTAAGGTCGACGTAGAACTAAAGGCTTCAAGCAGGTAAAAGTGTTGTTATAAAAATTAGAAAACTTCTTTCACCATCACCAGCCGCCCAAGTTGCTACCTATGCAGGCAAGTATGCATATGCATGTGTGTATGTGTGTTTGCAGAAGAAATCTGAGAAAAGTCATCAGCAACTTCTTTTAGTACTTCCTCTGTGCCAAGCAAGTACGCATACCCATACAAACACATGTGTTGCTGGCAAGATGTTGCACTTTAAAGAGCATAAAAATCTCTCAACCTTTAATGGTTACTTCTTACTTTGTTGTCGCGTTGCTTTTGCTGTCTGCTTGCGTGGTGTGGAGCAAGATGATGCCTTCGTTATATTGTAGTTAGCAGACAATGAGCAGCGAAAATGTCATCATCATCATGATGATGAGGCAAAATGGGAAAGCAACATTATTATAAGTGGTTATGCATATGAATATTATCGTCAATGAACTTTGAATGAGTTTTAAATTAACATGATTTGGAAGATTACGATTTTTTTTCTCAATGAAATAATAAAAGTATAAATTGATTTTTCATCACATTTCTTATATAACTTTCGTCGACCTTGCATAAAACCTGTTCTGGATTTTTTTTTTTTGTTAATTGGTTAAGTGGCAGTAGCACTTTCATTTCAATAAACTACTTTGCGAGCATATTTTTATTACAAATGAATAGAAACCTCTTTTTTGTAATAAATTTTTGCGTTTGTGTACATAAACGTTGTGAGATTCTCATACTTCAATAAGCTTTATAAATATTTGTATAAAAAATAAATACAAAATATTGGTATAAACAAAATTATACAGTATTTGACAATGCCCAATGCAGGCAACTTGTAAAATCACATCACCTAACAGCCGGCTGCATTGAAAAATGTTAAAAATATGCTGCAGCATTGAAAAGGTCCGCACTTAAGAACTCTAACATAGCGTAAAAACTGGAAGTAATAAACATTTCTCTTGACATTGCCGAAGTCTTCATACATGGTCATGCTTTACAGCAAATACACAGCTAAAGGTATTTAATTACATATATGTTAGAGTACCACCTTCAACGTCATTTGATCTACTTTGTGCTGTTAAAACGACATACTGCTGTATACTTTACAGAGCATACCTTATAAACAACTATTTAAGCTCTTCAGCAATGTGCACCGCTCTTGCAAACACCGCTTCTTTCGCAAACTCACAACAGTACCACTAAAGCAATTGCGCTTGACCAGCTGMACATTTCGTTAGCACACCTGTGCGTGAGCACTGCTTAGTAGCGASCATCTACTGCTGTTAAGATCGTATATTGACCGTGGCTGCTTCGGCRAGTGGAGTGTATTCTCTCTTCCTATTACATTTCATTGAAATCTCTGGTATGTAGACTGAACATGTTCATTACCGTTGGATTTTCATSTGTGATCCCTATAATGCATTTCACTTTACATCACAACTTAAAAAATCATATCGTTGAAAATTCTGCTTTTAATTCATATCCTATCACATCTTATAACATCATGAGAGTCCACGTAATATAACAATATCTCACATATTCCAGCCTCACATCACTTCTYACGTAGTTCATATCTCATCTTATAGTTAAAATAATAACATGACTTAAGTTTACATRCATTCAAATCTTATGACATTATATCAACCAGAAGCACATTATGTATAGTATGATAATGGCACAACTTTTGCAAATATATCACATGTGATCAAATTATTTAAATAATAATCATATGCTGATATCAACTAGAGACACGTCATATCACATCAAGCACAAATACATCACATCATTTGATATCAAATCGACTGGAGTCTCAGAGTTTATAGTATATCACATCACAATACATCATATCAGTTAACATCGGTACTGTTACATATAACACCAGGTAAAATCAACTAAAAATTTATCACATTATATCATATCATTCAAAAAATTATCACATGATATCATATCACATCACTTGAAATTCATCATATCAGTTAATTTCGATCATATCAAACAACAATTTATCACATGAACCCATATCACTTCACTTGAAATTCATCTTATCGATCATATCAACCAAAAAATTATCACATGATATTAAAAAACATCACATGATACCAACTAACTAAAATAATCACATATCATTCAAGAGCAAACACAGCATATCAAACGATATTATATCAACTACATCACACGAAGTTATATCACGAGGTTTATGCATTATGCAATCGCATGAMATCATATCAAGCAATTRTAATCACATACATRATATCATATATCACCGCAACAAAATCATATCATATCAAAAGTAACAGTAAGCATTCAATGTCAAATTATTTTATATGAAGTGAGTCTAATGTAAATAACATTATTTTATCTGTTTCTAGTTGATCTAGTATGGTACGCTTGTAATATTTTATAACTATGACCCAATCATATTAGTTAATATGCATATTCAATAACCTCACACCATATGATCATACGAACTAGAGCCACTATAATATCACATTATATAAGATAAGATAACGAGGATAATAGACTAAAAGATGGACTGTGTTCGCATCACATGAATTAATATCATGTCCACTGAAAACCTATTGCAACCACTACAAATGAGATCATATCATATCAAATAATCATAACATGTGATATTACAGTACAAATATAATGAGTTCATATGCCATTTATCAACTGAGTCTCGTTTCTTGGTTTGAGTTTGCCGCAGATACTATCATAATGCAGCAGATCATTTCGCAGAAGAGAACATGACTACACTGTATTAATATATCACACCATAAGCAACAATGGTTGACTTCAACTTATAAGTACTAATGAAATAAACACGCAATTAATTATCTAACTTTACGAAGCATAATATTAGTTGCTCCATTAAAAATATTTATTTAAATTTTTACTATCGAAAATCGAGAAGGCAGCCAAGAAAATGATTATTCACTTTATTTGATAGTGATACTTTTTGTTTTTGTTATAAAAAGGTGTCACAAGAACTCAGTTGATTAATTATTTTRTCAGAATTGATATCACTCATTTAAACAGTCTTAATGGATCATCTTAGTGTGATATTTTCCAAAAAATCCACTTTTTTGTTTGTTGAAAACGAAATACTGTCCAAAAAGTCCAAAAATTGATACTTTTTGTCCGTTATTTTGTCAAAATTCAAATGAATGTAATTATTTATTTAAAAAATTTAAGTGATTGATTACATTCAACATTCAAAAAAAAAAAAATTTCGAAAATCAGTGATTTTTCGTACGGTCACATTGAAACGATTCCTTGAGTTTAAAATGGAATATGSAAATTCATTAACATTGATTTTATTACCGTCGACAGAGAATGTTAAAGTAACAGCATGTATGTAWTGTATGCATTGTTGAATATTTCATAGCATATGCTAAGGCGTAGTCAAGATTTTAACTGTGATTATATTGAATATTTTAAGATTCATATTTTCTTAGCGCTTGTCTAACGAAGTTTTTGTAATAAAATAATAGTTCTAGTAAGAAGAAATGCATTATTTTCTAATAGATGCTTATAGTAATCTGTAACTCACTTTGTGTAAGTGCGATCGGGTTACGCTATGTATATGTCCTGTGAAAGATAAGACTTCGTAGCAGAAAAACTTCAGATATAATTTTGTGCTTATTTGAATAAGTATTGCTTAAGCGCAACCAAGATGGACAAGTAAAGAGAAAGCGCCAAATTTCGCTAAAGGCGAAAACGCCAGCCAGGTGGCTGAAAATGTAAATATATATTGAAATAAAGATAACATTTTAAAGGGTGTATACATTTTATTTTACATAATTTTCGTAGGGTCAGGACGTAAAGTTACATATTACACTTTACGTAAGTACTAAAATAATTTCCTTCTTTGAAACTTGCCAGTTAAAAAAAAAAAAAAATGGTAATAAAATATCAACTTCTGAACCTTTCGTTTTTATTATAGCAAAAAGTCCATTGTTTAACCACTTCAAATTATATTCTACTTCCAATTTTTAATATCCTTGCGCAACCGTTTTTTGAGTAAGAGAAATATAAATGCTTGAACAGATTGCCTGAGAAAATATATACTCAGCACCAAATAAAAGTAAACGAAAACATAAAAACCTCAACAACAACACTTACTAAAAGTAACAACAAATTTGCAAAATAAAGACACACACTCCGCCAACTAAGACGGCCTTTTTTGGCTCCACTCTCTGCGAGGCTACGATAAGCAATAAAATTTACACCTCACATAAATCCGCTGGAGAAAGAAAATTGATCCTAAATAACAGCACACAACAAAAGACTACAAGCGCACAACAAYAACAATACAAGAGCCATAGAAATTAAGTGTTGTTGCACTTAAAGCGAGATATTGTGGCGATACTCGCGCATTACATGTGCCTTATGATACTTTTACCTTGTACTTGCAACGAAATGTTTACACATGTAGGCCTTCAAGTATGTGTATGTGTGTGTGCAAATGTTGCGATATAAATATTTATGCTTAGGCAAGCAGCTTGAGCGCCCAAAATGACCCAATTTCCATAGKCAACAGCGCTTAACTGTACTTAGTTGTCCATTCGCAATTTAATGCCGCCACTAACGCCCTCAAGTGCATGGATATTCATTAACTTCAATGTCACCGTTACACAGTCTAAAATCACCGAACGAATTCGCATGRAGGCAGAATTTATTTAATGGCGCTTAGAAAGGAGTCAATGGGTTCAACAAAAGCACTCAMAGTTAAATTTATTTGAACGATTTTGAATAAAAGCCTAATCTCTTCGCCGAATTTGTGGGCTAACTGGAGTATTTGTTTGCTGTGCTTGGTAATTAATTGATATAGGGAARTTGCAAATCTGCGGCAATATTTTGATAATGTATATAACAGTTTGTAAAGAAAAGCTACTCTAAATTTCTAAGCCTTGTCATATCAAAAGCTGCATTTTTTCTAAATCTAAGTAATTTCTTTATTAGAATAAATATA